CAGATGGTTCTTAGGTTGATGACTGCAAACAAGATAACAGCGAAAGGGGGAAGGAAACAACAGATGAATATGGAGTGTGTCTGCTCTACAAGGGGGGAAGAAAAATGAAAGCACCATTGTATGGTGGGTCATCATTAAAAATGGGGAAAATGTTATTTGTAGTTTTGATTATTCGACAAACCTAGGGACCTCGTGAAGGGACCTGGTCCATGGTGCGATATATTCTCTAAACTGCCAGGCTGGAAAAGGTACAATTGGTTGGTGCATATTATCCTACTGATGACTTGACAAACCCAAGGACCATGTCCTTGGTGTGACGTACTCCGCATTGCTAGGCTGGAAAAAGTACAGCTGGTTGGTCCAAGGCTCCAACTATTGCAAAATGGAAAGAGACCTGGACCAATGGTGTGGTCTCGAAGGTTGTGACTATTCTTCATTGACCTAGTGCCCAATAGTCATAACCTTAGTTTTTTAAAGTTGAAAAATCTCTCTAGAACTCTTACAAAAGTTGATCGAAAAGTGAAGATTCATGCTCAAGATCAAACTCGAACAAGATAGAGCTGCAAGCTTAGTGGTCTTAGGTTTTGTTCTTTTTAACATGTGTTGCAAAATCTGATCCTAAATCTACATAAGAATCAGATAGTTTTTTGTGGGCAATGTTGTATGGGAAATTCTAATTCATTTAGAGTTAGGTACTTTAGTGGGTGGTGTTGTATCCGCTTAGGAAAACTCTAAGTTATCTAGGGGTGATATCTTAGTGGACATGTTGTATCTGATGAGGCTCTTCAAGTAATAAGTAGATACTTGATCGTGTGATTAATAACTTTTTCTCATATTGGGTGCAACTGGGTTCACTTTTATTTTAAGGAATATTAGTGAAACAGTTGAAAATCTTGTGCAACAGGTCGTGGTTTTACTCCCTTGAGAAAGGAGGTTTCCACGTAAAGTCCTTCTGTTGTTTTATTATTGTTATTTACTTTTCAATATATGTCTGGTTCAATTAAGGAATCTGGTCCTTTGACTTGTAATGGAAGCACACATTTTATTAAACTCAATACCCATCTGATTCCCTCTAAGATATATTCTAATTGAAAGACCCAAATTTCCTTGACAGAACAACTTCAGTTTGGGCTGTGACAATTTGTTGGATGTATTAAATCAAGGTGTGAATGAGATGGTAATTACTATCGTTTCATCATATAGTTAATATGAGTGAATTCTATGCGGCACTGTCAGTATCTACTTAATTCACAATCCTTTTGAACAATGCAATAGTCAATCTTGCTTACATAAATACACAAAGTAATCTTAACAAAAAGGAAAGAAAACAACAAATAAACATATGAAAGTGAAATGCTGGTTATTTTAAATGGTCAAAAAATATTAAATTCGTAACTGAAATTCATGAGAATTTTATGTAAAACGAATTCCATACCCTATGGAACTATATACACCTGCTACAGGTATAACTCCATGGGTTATGAAATTCTTTTTGCACAAAATTCACATGAATTTCAGTTAAAAATTTGACATGTTTTAGCGATTTATAATCATCAACATCTGGCTTCCATTTATTTATTTGTTGCTTCCTTTTCTTTTTGTTAAGATTAACTTCAGTATTTGTGGTCTACAAGATTGAGTTTTCATCGAACAAAAGGTTTGTGAATTAAGTACAAACTGAAGTGCAACATGTAATTTACTCAAATGGACTGTATGATAAAACCCAGTATTCATCATCACATTCCCACCGTGATTGAACACACCCAATGAATTGTCACAACCAAGTTGTTCTCCAATGGAGATATGGGTCTTTTAATTAGGATATTTTTAGAGGGAATCGCGTATTGGGTTTATGGGGTGGGTTGTTAGTTTATGGGTTAAAATGAAAAGTCAAATGGGTTGTTTATTAGCATTATGACACATATAAAATATGAGAGGGCCGTTAATAAGAGGGACATGTGTACCTAGAATTGGACGGCAGGGGCTTAGGTTGACGCTATGTATGACAGAGGTAATTTACGTACCATTATCAAAGTTCGTGGGTAAATCCGTCCTTTCCCCCCAAAATAGATTAGGAAACTTAAGACAACTTTCGTTTATTATAACCTATTATTGGAATATTACTTATCAAATTTGCAAACAAGCAATAAAAAAACAATGTCATGTAAATTGAAATAAAAGGAGTAGTAATGAATCAATTCAACAAACCAATCAAATTACGCACTATTTAAAGCACAAAATGGACAAAATGAAATCCATTGCACTGGCTTTGAATTTCAAAATTATCCAGCAAACTTCCAAAAAACAACATGTATATTTGCAAATATTGCAGCAAACACAAGCTGTTTAACTAATTATCAACTTGAGATAACTAATTACGAGATAACTTATGCTAAGGACTCGAGAAATAAGTTATCTCGTAATCATCAAATAACTACCAACTCTTTCAATAGTTTCCAACACAATTCCTTATGCTTTCAATAATTTTAAGAAAATACTCTTCTTTTATCTCATACTCATAAAGAATACTAAATGCCCATCTAACTTGGCTGGCTATTCCCTCTTAGTCAATCTTTCTAGTCTAAGGATATAATGGTGTATCACGTTTAGGTACCTTGGAGTCATACTTAGCTTCAACTGATGTGTTGATGTCTTTTAAGCCAATGCATTATGTCCGATCATATGCCGGAGTTGCAAAACTATATGGAGAGGTTTTAGTGTTTTGTGGTCGTGATGGTGGTGTTACTGGACTCGGAAGCTTGTGTTAAAGTACATGTAGACCCCTAACACTCATTGTTCCTCTATGACACTTTTTCTAGTGTCTAAAGTTGCTCATGTTGATGTTATGTTTCTTTTGTGAAGTTGAATTATTTATAACAGTTGATAAAAAATGGATTCTATGTTTCCCTTTGAATACGAAAAAAGGGCGCTTTAGCTGCTGCTACTTGGAAGTACAATTTTTTTGAAATTGGCGGTGGAAATGTGATTTAGTATTTTTCAGAAGCTGAGATGTTAATAAATCTCCTATCGATTTTCTCATTGACATATCAGCCTCTGAAAAATCAATCAATCACATTTCCAGTGCAAATTGCAAAAATTTTGTTTCTTACAACAGGCAACAACTAAAGTACCCTTTTTCGTATTCAAAGGGAACATAGAATAGACTTGTTATCAACTGGTCAATGTGATATAACTCCACAAAAGAAACATAACATATGCATGAGCAACTTAAGACACTAGAAAGCGTAGGAAAAGGGAGCAATGAGTATTAGACGTGTTCTGTATTGTACCACTAGCTTTTGGCTCCAAGAGCACCAACATCATAACCACGAAATACAGAAAGGTCCCATAAGTTTGTCAACTCTAGTATATGATCGGACAGAATGCATGCACTAAAAGGACTTAAAACATCATATAAAGATGATTATGAATCTAACTTAGATAACCTATACCATTAATGCCTCTGACTGGAAGATTGAGTCAGCGGGAATAGCCAGCCAAGATGAGCTTTCACTATTCTCTATCAGTATAAGATCAAAGAAGAGTTTTAGCAGGGAACCATTCAACATATTTTGGTGTGGAGGGCATAAAATTTAAAAAATTTTAAAATGAATAATATAGTTAAAATATGGGCTGCAGAGGTCACCAAATGTTGGTTTTGTGAATCACGTCACCAAGAGACAGTAGCTCATTTGTTTCTTAAATATCAACCGAACTTGGTCCTACTTTTGCTCTTCTTGTAGGTATGAACATTGATGGACTTCAATTAAGATAAGTTGTAATGTCGTGGTTGAGCACATATGTTTGGAATATAGGAGACATTTCTACAGAGCTCTACACAACTTTGTAATATGAGAATTTAGGAGAAAAAGAAATAGGATAAAGCATTAAGGCAAGAAGACGTCATTAACATGAATCATTCGCAATGTCACTAGGAACATGTATATGTTAGCAAGACTAAAACAAAATCATAGGTATTGTCCTGTTAATTGGTCTAATATGTTGATAACATGGACAAGTTACTGACCTAAAATAAAGGTTAATATAGTTTTATGAGGATCCGAACCGAATGGGTGGGCGAAATACAATGCAAATGAAGCATCCCGGGAAAATTCAGGTAATAATTTTTATGCATTTTGTTGAAGGAATGATGAGGGAGATGTTTAACACATAAAGGGAGCAAGCATAGAGAATACGACCAATACACTCGCAGAAGATGAAACCATACTAGAGGCATGCAAGCATTGCAAACAGTCAAAACATTGAAAATTTATCATTCACACTGACACAATGCTAATGTACAAGGTACTAGGAGGTAAGTGGGAATGTCCATGGATGATTGCAGCAATGGTGACGGAAATACAAGGAAGTTTACAGGGGAAGCAATTTATTTTTCAACACATTCTAAGAAAAGAAAATCAATTACAAGATTATTTGGAAAACATAACTATTGATAAGAAACTATCACATTCACAAGTTTTAATAGCATGGAGACTAATTAGAGGAGAATCATCAACAACGACAAACTACAATTCCCATACATAAGAGTATAACCTTTGAGAGGATAGGGTGTAAGGAGAGGCTACAACATTAATTTTTCCAGAAGAAGAATCTTTAAAAATCCCTTGGAGGCAACAAAATAAGGGAAATGCTATTTAAGATATTAAAAAGGACTCGGAAAAATTGGGAATATGGAGTCAAGAATTTAAGTATTAAACCTAGAGGAAGCCATCAACACTAGTAAAGGGAGGCAGAGCAAAGATTTACATGCTCTTTTTCACATGACAACCTGTAGAAAGATAGATAGAGGACACCGAAGGAAAAATATAAGTAGCAAAATAAGTGAGACGACTTACCAAGTCAAGTTATTTTCTTATTTACACAATACCAATAGTAAAAATATAACAAGCGCAACCCATGGAACTTGAGAACGCAGAAACAAAGAAACTATGATGTCGATAGCAAGCAAGAAGGAAATATTCTGAAACCACGATACTTACTCTTATTAGTTGTTTCTTTCCGTAGCAACCGAAGGTGGAGGGATGGATTATTCCAAGGAGGAAGCATTCTCAGGTGAAGAAATATAATCAAAGGTAGAGAGGAAAAAGCGGAAAATTGACAAAGATTTGTGAATAAAAAACTAATTATGAAACCCTACCCTAGAATAGATACACTTCACTATCCTGTTTGGTTTGGGCCTGGTTTATTCATTTCCTTTTTTGATAATTAGTTTGGTTTTTTGTAGTGGGATTGTTAGGTTCGGGCTTTTCCCATGGAGGTGTATCTTTGTTTTTTGTTGTTTTCTACAAACACATGAATAAAATGCAAAAAAACTCCATAATATATTCCTTTAATAAAAGAAATTTAAATCTTCATAAATTGAAAAAAATTTATCATAAAAAATAAAACTTGACTTGGATATCTTCAAAAGAATAAAGAATTTGATATTATGTATTTCAAGATGTTCACATTTCACACAGTTTAACTCATAAATTGTCAATTACAAGTCAGAAGTCTGTATATCATTCATAGAGAGTGTATACTTTTGTTCACTTAATAACATGTTAAACATGTACCACATATGTGGAGTACCAATTATTTTTCTTGTTTGTCAAGAATAATATTTCTATATGACAATCAATAAAACTAGAATGCAAACTTTTGTGTGTGAACATCTCATCTAAAAGCTTAAAGTGTTAGAGAGAATATATAACTATATATTTACATAATTATGTTTCATACTTTGGAGCTTCTAATCTAATCCATTTGATTAATTAATCCAAATACGCAACTAAAGAAGTTTCTTTTATTAAAGCCTATGATAGGACTTGCTGATCCAATTTAAAACCTAGTATAGTTTGACACTACAAGTAGAGACAGATCTAAATTAAAATTTGATGTGTTTGATCTTTAAATTTTTTATGTATTTACGACTACATGTTCAAATAATATATGTTGTGAAATTTTGATGGATCTACATACAATAAACACATACTCATACACACATCCACATGCACACATGTCAGCATGCTTGCACACACAAGTGTTACACATTGATCTCAAATTTTTTCTTAAATTTTGTATTAGACAATAGTGAATCGAATATATATTTTAATCAAAAGTTATATCACTTAGAAAATAGCTTTCATTACCAAAACAAAGAAACTTTATCAATTATTTCTTTTAAGTAACTTTGAATTAGTTTCATCAGATAAATTTAATTTATTCATCATTTTGACTGAATTTTCTACTACACAACTAATGGTAAAATAATTGCATGAGAATATCTTTAATAATAATCAACCAAACGTGAAAGAATATATATTGATATGGAGTAAGCGGTGGAGTAAATTTAGATAAATATATTATAAGGAATTACAATAGGTATTTCCCCAAAGACAGGCATGGTGTTCCCATCAGAGTTCCTAAGTTTCCACACTCAAGGAATATTGTAGTTCAAACAATAACATATTTCGATTCAACACTTAAGCATATGATAAATTGTTCTTATAAATAATTTTGAACAAAATCTTAAAATGTTTACGCACATAGTTTGAAGGTGTACTCTCTCCTTCAAATATACAGAATATATAATACTCTTAATAAACCTTAAAACTTCATACACATTTCAATAACATCATTTTCACCTATTAAGTTTTCCTAAATGGAATTACTATTATAAGTTATTATGTAATTTGTCTGTTTAGCAATCAATTATTATAATAAATAATTACCTTTTATCACATAATAAGAAAGGTGACCATGTAATATAATTTATGCCATATATCTATGGAGTTTGCACCTTTTTTTCCATAAGATGATATAAATTTGCATCTTTTTATATATAGTTGTTATCAATACTTCATGTACAAAGGAGATTGATAGGTTAATTCATATGCATTAATGATGAACTTATTCTTAGGATTAGTGGTTAATGTTCATTATAGCGAATTACTTATTATCACAATGTAATGACCCGGAAGGTCATTTTTGGAAAATTTGAATATTAGTATAACTTGAATTAATTAATGGATGGGTGATGATAGATAATTGAATTAATAAATAGTTAGTGGGTTAAAGTGAATTAAATTATTTGGGGTTAACATATGATACCTAACTGAAAAGGGTAAAGAGGAAAGTGTATCCTTGAGAGAGGGAGGGAACTGACAGCTACGAAAAAAACAAGTACAAACAAAAGCTTAGTGTTTATTTAACTATATGTAAGCATTATGTGATTTTTGTTGACAAAATAAGGTGTATTGTTGGAATAGTAAAAAAAAAAAGAACAAAAGGCATTAATGGGGGCAGCATAAAGTAAAGTTAATGGAAACTTTTCAATTGAAAAGTAGTCGGGTTAGGAATTACAGTAATACCTATGCCAATGAATAATTTAATGTGTGTGTGTGTGTGTGTATATATATATACATATATATATATATATATATTTTATGTACATACTTGCAGTCCCCTATTTTTTATAGCTTTAGGTGCCTGCGTTGATTATTTATTCTTGTTAAATTGAGAAAAATATTAGGTGTAACATGAATTAGGTCGCCTTCCATGAGTTTTTATTTTGTTTCCGTTCAACACTTGAAAGATGCTATAATATTTTTATACTATTTCCACAATACACCTTATTTATTCAACAAAATCACATCATCCTGAGATATATATTAATTATATTGAAAGGGAAGAAAAGTGGGTACCTGATTCACTATGATTTTCTTTGTAGTTGTTTTTTTCCTCGCTGTCAGTTCTCTCCCTCTCTCAAAGACACACGTTCTCCTCTTTACCCCTTTAAGTTAGGTATTATATTTTAACCCCATAAAATTTAATTCACTTTAATCCACTAACTATCTTTTAATTCAATTATCTATGATCACTCATCCATTAATTAATTCAAGTTACACTAATATTCAAATTTTTAAAAAATGATCTTCCGGGTCATTACATTATCCACCACTAAAAATCATGTTCATCCTCGAACATAAAGTAAAAGAGAGTACCTGAAACTTCAAAAAGATGAGGACATCTGGCATGCATGTCTGACTTTTTCTCCCAAGTTGCTTCACCTACTGAACGGTGCTTCCATTGCACCTTCACTGAAACAAGCTCCTTGGTCCTAAGATTTCGGACTTGCTATCCAATATAGCTATAGGATCTTCCTCATAGGTCAAGTATGGACCATGCTCCACAAAATCGAGTGAAATCACATGAGATTTATCCGGAATATACATCAGAATCATAGACACATGGAAAACAGGATGAACTACCGACAAACTAGGTGGCAAGGCAAACTTATAGGCCACCTCTCCCACTCGGCTCAATATCTCAAAGGGTCCAATGAATCTAGGACTTAGCTGGCCCTTCTTTCTGAACCTCATCACACCCTTCTTGGGTGATACTCGGAGCCAAACATGATCACTCTTCATAAACACTAAGGCTCTAACTCTCGGTCTGCATAACACTTCTGTCGACTCTGGCTGTCAATAGTCTATACTGAATCATACGAACTTGCTCCATAGCATCTCTAAGAAAGTCTGTATCCAAAGAGTCTATCTCTGCCGAATAAAACCAACCAATCAAATATCTACACCGTCCACCATACAACGCCTCAAATGGGGCCATTTGGATACTATAGTGATAACTGTTACTATAGGCAAACTCCGCTAAGGTTAAATGTCGATACCATCTAGCTCCAAAATCTATCACACACTCCCGGAGCATGTCCTCCAACACTTGAATCGTCCACTCGGACTTACCATGCATCTGTGGGTGAAACGTTGTACACATATCTAACTGTACCAAGACCATGCTGTAATACCTTCCAAAAGTGAGAAGTAAATATTGATCCTCGATCTTATATGATACAAATAGGCACTCGATGTAGTTGCACAATTTGACTAAAATATAGCTCGGTTAACTTTTCTACCGTATCCTCCACCCGAACAAGAATGAAGTGGGTAGACTTGATCAGCCTATCAAGAACAACCCAAATAGAGTCATAACCACCAACTGTGGTAGGCAAACCCACAACAAAGTCCATATTAATCCACTCCAACTTTCAAGTAGGAATACACATCCTCTAAGATACAACCCCGGGCCGCTGGTGCTCACACTCAACCTGCTGGCAAGTCAAACACCTCGACACAAAGTCTGGAATATCTCTCTTCATCCCACACAACCACTAATTTTGACTTAGATTAGATACATCTTCTCCACCCCCGGATGGGTGGAATATCGAGAACAATGGGCCTCCTCAAGAAATAATCTAATCAAATAGCCCATTTTAGGAACACAAATTTCTGCCTCCGATCCTCAAGATGCCATCATAATCAAGGACAGACTCCTTGGCTTTCCCTCTCAATACTTTGTGTCGAATGAGGCATAACTTCTAAAATTAAATTGGTGCGCATAGATTTTCTCGACTAAAGAAGATCGAGCCTCAATAAAAGCATTCATCACATCACTCTCCTTTAAAATCTACAATTGGACAAGACTGTTAGCTAACATTTGAACATCTCTAGCCAATGGTCTCTCCTCAATACTACGCGATGCAAGACTCCCCATGCTAGGATTCTTCCTACTCAAAGCATCGGCCACAAAATTTGCCTTCCCCGGATGATACAGAATGGTCACATCATAGTCCTTCAACAACTCAAGCCATCTCTGCTGCCTCAAGTTCAAATTGCTCTGACTAAAGATATAATGAAGATTCCAATGATCAATGAACATCTCACAATGCAGCCCATGCAAATAATAATGTCATAACTTAAGTAAAAATACCACATCCTCCAACTCGAAATCATTAGTAGGATAGTTATTATCATGGGACTTTAACTGCCTAGAAGCATAAACAATCATTTTCCCCTTCCGCATCAACACACCACCCAATCCAACTCATGAAGCATCACAATACACTATAAATTTTACACCCTCCTCAGGTAGAGTTAACACTGAAGCTGAAGTCAACAAAGTCTTGAGTTTTTGAAAGTTCCGCTCACACTCATCAGACCACTGAAAACGCACATCCTGTCGAGTAATTCTAGTTAATAGAGCTACCATAGTAGAGAAACTCTACACAAATCGTCGAGAATAGACTACCAATCCCAAAAAACTCCAAATATTAGTAGGTGAAGTAGGTCACG